TCCATCCTAGTATTGAAACATCTATTGTCGACCACTATCAAAACCTCCATCCTAGTATTGAAACATCTATTGTCGACCACTATCAAAATCAACATCCTAGTATGGAAACATCTATTGTCGACCACCATCAAAACCACCATCCTAGTATTGAAACATCTATTGTCGACCACTATCAAAACCTCCATCCTAGTATTGAAACATCTATTGTCGACCACTATCAAAATCAACATCCTAGTATGGAAACATCTATTGTCGACCACCATCAAAATCATCATAATAGTATTGAAACATCTATTGTCGACCACCATCAAAACCACCATCCTAGTATTGAAACATCTATTGTCGACCACTATCAAAATCATCATCCTAGTATTGAAACATCTATTGTCGACCACTATCAAAATCATCATCCTAGTATGGAAACATCTATTGTCGACCATTATCAAAACCACCATCCTAGTATTGAAACATCTACTGTCGACCACCATCAAAATCACCATAATAGTATTGAAACATCTACTGTCGACCACTATCAAAATCATCATCCTAGTATTGAAATATCTATTGTCGACCACTATCAAAAATCATCATCTTAGCACTGAAATGCATATTCTTTGACCATTATCAAAATTATCATCTTAATATTAATGTATCTATTATCGGTCATTATAAAAATTATATTAATTGTGAATTGTTAACTCACAAAACAACACAACACACCGAAAGAGATTTAAAACTGAACAGTTTGCAGTTTATGGGAAATATTGTTCGATAAAACAAATGCTACTTGTGTGGCACTTGTTTAACTACTAGTAGCAGTTCACTTCGTTTGATTTCATACACTTAATTTTTAGTATTATTTTACTAAAAAATCCTACCATAGGTTCAACTTTCTGGGTGACAGTGAGAGATCTGAAATTATTCTGTAATTAAACAATCGATTTTTAATAGAATTTTGACAGTAATCATAATTGGTTTGCTTTTGTGTATCCAGTAACTAAAAATGAAACAGTTTAGCGTTATGGTAGTCTTCGTGGTTTCTTGTATTTTTATAAAACAGTGACTACAGCAAATCAAACTTTTTCACGCAGTATTCATCTTAAGACAAGATTTTAACTATCAGGAAAGAAAGGCTCTGCTTGCTTTAAAACAGTTTCTTTATGTACCCACTTTAAGAAATCAATTTTTATTGGTCACTTGCTTTGTTTGGAAGAATTAATATTTTCAACTTGAACGACATCTCATGTTCAGATAGGCTAATCAACCAGATTAAAGACCCCTGAGGGTTAATTTTAGCCACCCCTGGTTATGAACTACCAGTCAGCAACACTCATCTCTACAATGGCTTTGTCCGACTTTTAACCGACCGAGATTGACCAACAATTTTATAATACACCCACAGCTGAAACTTTTCTTGAGCCTCAGGTCCGTTGCCCCGTACGTTAATCACGAGACTATTCCTGGCTTTCGGGAGAGTTAGATACAAATGTATGTAACAGAACATGTTATGAATATCCAGATATTTCGCAAGTGTTTCGTATTTTCGTTGTTATTCACTAGTTTTTAGTATTGGATGCGCACTAATAGAAATCATGATAAATATATTCAAGTTTCGTGCAGTGTCTTGATCTTATGGTAAATAACTAGGGTTTATAAGCATTAGTAGTAATAAACTTTTCTATCAAATCTTATTGGTAATAATATTTCAAATTTTCTTTATAATTTATTCCATATTTATGAAAATAGTTCTGCTTTTTATCTTAGGTCTGACCTAAATCTTATAAGTTGGCATGTAAGATATTATTAGGATTACAGCCGAGATATCGTTAATAACGAGGGCTCCTAAATAACGATTAAAATCATTGTTATCATTATAAGATTCACTTCTCTTGTGTATTGAATTATGGGATTTAGTATGTCTAGTTACTCGTTTTTTTACGGAAGTTAATTTATAAAATGTGAGTTAAGTTCCCATTTAACTTTTGATCAGAATTTCAAATGACAACTAGGAGTCAAACTTTTCTAAGTATACCTAATATCGTACGTTATAATGAAATTATATGTTAAGAATACCTAATATTGGACATTAATAATATATTATTTCTTTAGTCTGCTAAAAGTACTTAACATTATATTATGATAAAATTATTAATTCTATCATTTGAAGCTAAAATATACAAAAAATATGATAATCGATTATAACATTCTAATTTGCAAATATTAGCGTGAATTATGATAACTTCACATTAGCTCACTCAAGTAGTTTTATGATGGATAGAATTACAGTAGAATACCTTTAGATTACTTTATTCAAGTAGTTTATGATGTAAAGAATTACAGTAGAATATCTTTAGATTACTTCACTCAAGTAGTTTATGATGTAAAGAATTACAGTAGAATATCTTTACTTCACTCAAGTAGTTTATGATGTAAAGAATTACAGTAGAATATCTTAAGATTACTTCACTCAAGTAGTTTATGATGGAAAGAATTACAGTAGAATATCTTTAGATTACTTCACTCAAGTAGTTTATGATGGAGAGAATTATAGTAGAATATCTTTACTTCACTCAAGTAGTTTATGATGGAGAGAATTACAGTAGAATATATTTAGATTACTTCACTCAAGTAGTTTATGATGGAGAGAATTATAGTAGAATATCTTTACTTCACTCAAGTAGTTTATGATGGAGAGAATTACAGTAGAATATATTTAGATTACTACACTCAAGTAGTTTATGAAGGAAAGAATTACAGTAGAATATATTTAGATTACTACACTCAAGTAGTTTATGATTGAGAGAATTACTTCACTCAAGTAGTTTATGGTGGAGAGAATTACAGTATAATATCTTTACACATTTTCACTCAAGTTTATGATGGAGAGAATTACAGTATAATATCTTTAGATTACTTCACTCAAGTAGTTTATGATGGAGAGAATTACAGTATAATATATTTAGATTACTTCACTCAAGTAGTTTATGATGGAGAGAATTACAGTTTAATATATTTAGATTACTTCACTCAAGTAGTTTATGATGGAGAGAATTACAGTAGAATATCTTTAGATTACTTCACTCAAGTAGATTATGATGGAGAGAAT